ACATTCAAAAGTAAGAGCTTTTCTAAATTACTTGGGTTTTGAAGAGCTCATAATCAGAATCAAAGGATGCCAGAGACTCTATGGAACAGTTGAGCCCCCAAGACCCAACAATGGGAACACATGGAGCCTGACCCCCCAGTCACCTGGAAATCACAACCTCTCATGCTGATAAGCCCAAGGCCAGTTGCCCTGTGAAGACCAGCTTGTCAACACGAAGGTACTAAGCGCCTTCCTTCATCATAGTGAGTTAGGACCGTCCAAGTGACCACATTTAACAGTAAGCACGCACCAAAAAAAACAACAACAACCTCAAACAATGAGCCATACAGAGAGAAAGGCACAGAGGACAGAACTGGCAGACTGTACCCTTGCTCCCAGCCCGTACCAGACAGTGTTCCACGTTCCTCAGTGTCGCTGTCACTATCGACAATGTCATTATGCTTCTCGATGTCTGCCAAAGACTGGCCATAATGAGTTAATTCTTCATCTTCGTTTAGGTTATAGATGCTTTTTTTCTCATGTTGCCGCTGACAGAAGAAGAGAAAAATCAGCTTCCTAAAATTTCCATATCTGTTTAATAGCAAACTCCCGTTATTTTCCCACTGCTTCTATAACGTGACAATGTGGCCCAAGCACATCACTTTCTGGGTCATTTGAGCAATGTTCCAAAGATAAACAGAGCCCACAGGAGGTAAACCATTCAGGGGCCAGCCTGAGCCATGGCTAAATCCTGCCAGTGTTCCACCATCGATTGGCTCTCCACCCGACCAAGCCAGGGGCTGCACGTCAGTCTAGAACTCAGGACACATCACCACTGTGTCCTCAAGTCATGACACTTCTCCACCCGGCTGGTGGCAGACAAGGAGTAGCATGCACACTGTACCTCGTGGGGGGCGTGCCCACGTGAGTGTAAGTGAATGACAGGGCAACCGCCTGCTTGTGCTGGACTTCCATGAGCAACGGCGGCATCAGACCCCCTCCCGTTGTCCTGCACACCTGCTGCTCCAGGGCAAACCTCTTCATCATCTTCTCCTCTGGGCTCATGGTGCTACTGTACTCCCCATAGCGCTTATCTGTGAACACGTTGGACTTGTCCCTTTCCTTGTACTCCTTCAGTAATGTCTGGGTACGCTGGAAAAGAGATCACAGAAAAATCTCGCACAGGTCCTGGCAACTTTGAGCTCCGATGGCTTGGCGATCTTGGTCCCTACAGAGAAACTGCTCCCACAGGGTACACACGGTTGCTCCAGTGAACTGTAAGATGCCACTGACACCAACAGTCAAAGAAAGGACTAATCTACTGGCTGGAAAGATGGGTTTCAGTTACTGAGGAAGTGGGGTTGCCCCTGTACAATGAAGGCAGAGAGGACTGTGTCTGGAGCTTAGGGGGGCTCTCTGGGGCGCACCTTGGGACTTCTGTGCCCAGAACTAGAGGTGAAAGAAAAACAGCAGCAACTTCAAGAAAGCCAAACGATGAGCACAGAGAAGTCGCTCCGCCAGGTAGAGAGGCCAGAGGAGCTCATCAAGTTCTAGCCGAGAGGAAGGGAAACGAACGAGGAGGTGGAAAGGACGCCATACATGTCAACTACAACGTCCTGACCAATTAGACACAGAGACTGTAGTAAGGTCGCTTATTTTCTCTTTGTCACATGAATGTCTTCGTTTGTATACAGTCAGTCCTTGCTCTTCTGGGATTCCAGGTCTGCAAATCTGCCTACTTGCCAAAGGTTACTGCGACCCCAAACCACTACCCACAGCACTTTCGTGGTCATTCATTCATGTGAGGCCTAGAAGGTACAGTCATAAGTGTGACAGCTCGGACTCTGGAGGCGGGGACCTAGCCTCTCTGACCCCAGAGCCCTCACCTTCCTGCTGGCTGTTGCTACGGGATCACAAGAATTTACACAAGATGGCTCCAGACAGAGCTGGGCACAGATACTGCTGTGTGTTACACACTCAAGTGTGGGTTTGGAGCTCGGCTTCCCCACTCCCGACCTGATGAAAATCCTGGAATCCTGGAACAGCTCCTCATCTCCCATTTTCTCATGTGTAAATGGGGATAATACCAGTACTCCCCTCATAAGAGCAACTGTGTGTTTCTCGGTACAACACCTGTGCCGTTGGGAGAGATGACAGACACATCAACTCGGCTTACCTCACTGCTGGTGTGAGAATGGAGAGTGATGCCCAGTCACCCCAAGATGGCTCTGGGACCCGCACCCACAGTCTCGCTGTGCACACAGCTGCCGCCCAGTGCCACCACTGACTGAAGCAGAAGACACATGGGACAGTGCATTTGATTCTGAGGGATGGTCACCGTCGAGAAGACCAGGCCCACCTTGCCACCCTGTGTGTTCTGATGCACACAGCACGCTCCAACTGCCTAGACAACCTGAGTACCCTCAGCACAGCTGAGTTCTCCCACCCCATGCTGTGCCACACACTCCGTGACAGGGGACAGTGTGCCTTCGTCTCCACCTCTGGCATTTTGCTCACCCTTCTGATCTCGAGTGTGACTCCCTCTATGAAGGAGTTTCTGATCTTCCTATCCTACCTTCTGACTTGAGCCCCCAAAGCACAGGGATCAGAGGAGGCACCAACACCTGCCTCCAGGCCATTCACTGCAGGCCTTTGAACAGGGCACCGAGGTGACTCCGTCCGGTACTACGGGCATGAGCAAGCTGCCCTGTTTGGGCTGTAGGGCTTGGGAAAGTAGCAGACGTGGTGACTAGTGCTGGCCCCTGGGGGATATGGGGGGGGGGGGGGACAAGACAGGACTTTTTGGACAAACTGAGTTGCAAGAGGCAAAGCAAGCACAACAGGTTGTGCCCAGATCGTCAAGGGGTCTGAGAATGACAAGCTGAGAAATTTAAGAATAAAAGCCAGTTGTTTATATATCACCCAGTATGTACTCAATACGCCACTTAACCTTACAGTGACCGTTAGGGAAAAGATGGGTATTATCATCTGAGCTCTAGAACTGAGAAAACACGCTTAGCTGGTGGAAACAAATGGGGCCCCTCTAGAGCCCACGTGGCCAGGTCCCTGGTGGCTGCCCTGGAGGGTGCCCTCGGGGCCTCATCAGCACCCCCATAAGTTCATCTTGTCAGCTCCTTGCAGTAAGGACGAGAGCCGGTTCAGTTAGAAGGTCTGGACAGCGCCCTGATGGCAGAACAGGGATGGCAGGCCCCGGAAGGCTGGGGTCTGGTCTTCACTGACCTCCATCTCCCAGCAGCTAAGAGGGAGGAAGCTTCTAGCTTCACATTCAAACCCAGGGCATGCCTCGCCCTTCGCTGAGACCCTGGGAAACGCGCAGGTCCTGCCGTGCCCCAACTTCCCTCCGCACCCTGATGTTTTCTATAGGATACTATGTGTTTTCCCCACGGCAACAACTAACACTGTCACACCGAAGACCACGTCTCAGAGGCCGCACACGGAGTGCCGTCTGAACGCAGCCCGAAAGGCGCGGGATACTCGGGGACCGAAAGCACGGAACGTGGCATTTCGGTCCCCACGCGCGGGACACGCTGCTGCGCTCGGAAAGAGAGACGCCCTCATCCCCCCACATCCGTGACCTCCCTCCCCTGCGAAGGCAAGGATGAGCGGCCGCCAGACCAGAGGATGCACGCCCCCGCAGGGACGGCTGCAGGAGGCGCGCACTGGCGCCCCGCGCCGGGGCCCGGAAGCCGGGAGCACACGCGCGCCGCGTGCCCACCTAGCGCCGTTTCCCGGGCCGGCTCCCTGCAGCTCGCCAGGGGGAGACCCGGGACTCGCGCTCCGCCCGCGGGACGCAGTGTCCTGGCCAGGCACGCGCCCCCGCCGGTCCCCGCGGCGCGACCCCCGACCCTCACCTTGTGCACGGCCCGCGCGCGCGACACCCCGGGCTGCCCCACGGCGTGGCGCGCCTTCCTGCCCAGCACCGGAAACTTCTGTCGGTTCACCTTCACCTCAAACGGGTTGGGGTTGGGCCTCGCTCGGCCGCCCTGCGCCCCCGCCGGCGCCACGGCTCCCCTCTTGCGCGCCCCCGCCGGCCTAGCCTTGCCCATGGCGCCCCCGCCAGCCCGCAGCCACACTCTGCCGGCCACTGCGCGCACCGCCGCCGGAAACGCGGGCGGCCCCGGGGCACCGCCCCGTCCTCGTCGCACGATAGCCAAAGAGCCGCCGTGAGCGCACGCAGCCGGCAGGCCAGCCTACGCGTCTGCAGGCGAGCCACTACAACTCCCAGCAGGCCACGCTCTCCCGACGCACCGCCCCCTCCCTGCGCGCGGCCTTCTGGGAGCGGATGTGCCCCGTGCAGCGTCGCGCTGCGTCGCACCCGCCTCAGGGCGCGGCGACGAGGGCAGCGCTCGGTTCCCTCTTCTGGGAAGCCGTTGGAGGGATCCGGCCGCGGTGCGGGTAGGCGGCGGCGGCGGCGGCAGCAGTAGCAGCCGCCGCCGCCGGGGCACGGCGCAGGCGCGGCCGGGGAGCCCTCCCTGAGGTGGGGCTCGGCGGAGACTCCGGGCGGCCCGGGAGCCGGGCTCCGAGGAGCAAGTTGCCCGTGCCAGGCGCGAGCGATGCGGACGAGAGCCCGGGCCCCGGCGCGGCGGCGGTGAGCGCGGAGTTCCCCGGCGACCGCACTGCCGGCTCTCCTCGCCTTAGCGACGCCCCCGCCGAGGGTCCGGGCCCCGAGGACCGGGGCTCCCCTGGCCCGCGCCGGCAGCGGCCGAGGCGGCGTCGGCGGCGTCGTCGGCGTCGCAGACGGGCCCGGAGGCGGCGCGGCGGGTGGTGGTCGTGGTCGTGGCCGTGGCCGTGGCGGCGGCGGCGGCGGCGGCGGCAGCGGCGGCGGCAGCGGCAGGAGCCACAACTGGAGGGCCGGCGGCGGCGGCGGCGGGGCAGCTCCCCCGGACCCCGCGCGGGGTCGCCGGAGCAGGTGGCGTCCTGCGAGGAATGCGCGGAGGTGGCGGCGCCCTCTCCTTCGCCGTCCCCTCCTCGCACCCGCGGATCCCGGCGGCGGCGGCGGCGGCGCCTGCGGGCTGTGGAACTTGAGAATTTCGTGGCCAACACGCTGCTGCTGAAAGCTCGCCAAGGTGGGTGCACGGCGGGCGCCCGACTCCCACCCCACCCGGACCCTCCGAAGAGCCCGGATCCCCACAGAGCCCCGCCCCACGGCCCGCGCGGCCTCGCTCTCGGTCCCGCGGGTCGGCGAGGCGTCCGCTGCCCTGCACTCTCTCAGCACGCGGGACCCCAGGTATAGGTGGTCTGCGCCCAGCGCTCGTTAGTCTGAGCCTGCTGCGTGGACCTGCCGCCCCCCCTGCACCGTCCAGTTCGTCACGCCCGGCGAGCAGTGTCCTACCCCGAGGACGGGGAGGCGGGAGCACCGAGCGAAGCCGGCAGGAAACGACCGTGCCTTTGTGGTCTATGCTGCCCTGGGCGAGAGCCGTCCTGTAGTGTCCGCGGATCGGTATTTGGGCGCAGCGTCCTGATTTTAGGTCTGGTCTGTGACTTTGTGGTGTGTGGAGTGGAAACAGGTCAGGAGGAATTCGGAAAGGTAGCGGTTGGCTCAGCCCTTCCGCTCGGAGGTCGCTAGTAGCGTCCTGTGTCTCCCAGGAGGCTGGAGAGCCGGCGACCAGCTGCCCACCTGCGGTTCTTCAGCCCCGGGCCTGATGCCGGCGATGGAGCAGGTTCTGCGACCTTGCGCTGCGACCGCGATCCGTGCCCGCCCGACGGGCACAGTGGCCAGAACTCCCGAATGGAAGACCACGGGGGTGGGGGGAGGGGTTATGTGCAATGTCCCAGGGCCAGGAAGGGGTGCTCCTGGTGACTCAGGGTGCCGTTGGCAAGTGCCAGTGAATTTCTCTTGTGATTGGAATAGCAAGTAACGTTTTGTGGAAGAAGTTAACCTGGAAGACAGCTCTTTTCAGATCTTTGGGGTTTGTTTCCTTTTGAATCCACCGCCCTTCCCATCTGTGTCCTAGGTGTCTTTCATGAGGAAAGGTGGGATCCCAAAGTGCCTGGTTCCTCAACCCACTGGAGCTCTTGGGTCAGAAACATTTGAAAGGAATTCTTGAAGTCACAGTGACTGGTGCCGAGAATTAGGTGCTCAAGTGAGGGTTTAAATGGAAGGATCCAGATTTAAGAAGTAGTGAACTTTTATTTTCTAAAGTGGCTCTTCTGTGAAGAGTTGAGAGTAGAGGGGCGCCTGGGTGGCTCAGGAGGTTAAAGCCTCTGCCTTCAGTTCAGGTCATGATCTCAGGGTCCTGGGATGGAGTCTCACATCTGTCTCTCTGCTCAGTGGGGAGCCTGCTTCCCCCTCTCTCTGCCTGCCTTTCTGCCTACTTGTGATCTCTTTTTCTGTCAAGTAAAATCTTAAAAATAAAAAAGTTGAGAATAGAGATCTTCTCTTGAATTATTTTGAATAGAAGACTGAAGATGGGTGGGAAGAGAATAGGGTCTTACTTTTCTGTTAAGGTGGTGGGGTGACCTCAGCAGTAGGTTTCAGTGGAACATGTGATTGTGTCCAGTGTTTCTCACTTTGAACTCCAGGTTGGTCACAGAGATGAATCGTCCTTTGTGGAAATTGGCTCTGACCCAACCTCAGCCTGTTTTCTTTCCACTGTATCATCCTCTCTGGGTGTAATGTACGAAAACAGGCTGTCAAGCAGATTTCTGTACAACGCTGTAGAGACTAGATGAGGAGGTAAAATGTAAGTGCTTTCGAAGTGTTAAATACATAAAACCAGGGGCTCCTGGCTGGCTCAGTCAGAAGAGCATGCTACTTACTCTTGGTCTCTGGGCTGTGAGTCGGAGCCCCACATGAGATATAGAGATTACTTAAAGAAATACATAGAACCAGTATTTCCTGTCATAAAGCCTAAGACTGCAGTGATCCATCCTTCCTTTCTTCCTTCCGTCCTTTTTTATTTATTTTTTTAAAAGATTTTATTTCTTTATTTGACAGACAGAGATCATAGGCAGGCAGAGAGACAGGAGGAAGCAGGCTCCCTGCCGAGCAGAGAGCCTGATGCAGGGCTCGATCCCAGGACCCTGAGATCATGACATGAGCAGAAGGCAGAGGCTTAACGCTCTGAGCCACGCAGGTACCCCTCTTTCTTTCTTTTTTAAAGATTTTATTTATCCATTTGACACAGGGAGAGAGAGCACAAGCAGGGGCTGAGGAGAGGGAGAAGCAGGCTTCCCGAGGAGCAGAGAACCCGATCCGGGCCTCAATGCCAGGACCCTGGGATCATGACCTGAGCCGAAGGCAGACGCTTAACAGACTGAGCCACCCAGGCACCCCAGCAGTGATACTTTCTAAAGAGTTTTAATTTTTGTTTTCTAAAGTATTAACCCATACTGGTATGATCATTATGAGGTCTGCCGTTTGTCAGCAGGGAATGTTTACTCCTGTGTTCAGAAAGAGTTGTTACGTCTGTGTGGTTAATGCTTAGAGAAGTTAAATATGAGATATTAGAAAGATGAATATATGGTGAGTGTTGGTTATAACTTAGGGTTGTTCTCCCAAATTGAAACTTTATTTGCTTTAGCAGCTCATACGTATTCCCTAGGAAGTGTCTTCTTGGACCTCTCTAATGAGGAACCAGTTCATGGCTAGTTCCTCATTTAGTTTCTTTGGCTCATGTATTAGAAAATAAACATTTGAGAGGAGTGTACATAGTACAGCAGTTATATGCTGGCCTTGGGAATCACACTATTGATTTAATATTATGAGTGAGTCCACTCATTCTCTAGATTTATTTCAAATAAAATCAATCTCTCTGTTTTTGTTCTCAAGCAGTAGGTATTTAAAACTGTTGCTCCTTTTCAGGAATGTTGGCAGATAATGCTGCCTTGAAAAAGTTGTTTGTCACTTTGCCACGCACACTTTAAGGAAGTAGAAAATGATCCTACTGTTGATAAAACACAATCACTTTTTTTTTTAACATTTAGCATTTTTTCTTTCTTTTTTTTTTTTTTTGAACATTTTATTTATTTACTTGACAGACAAAGATCACAAGTAGGCAGAGAGGCAGGCGGAGAGGGGGAAGCAGACTCCCCGCTGAGCAGAGAGCCTGATGCGGGGCTCTATCCCAAGACCCTGAGATCATGACCTGAGCTGAAGGCAGAGGCTTTAACCCACTGAGCCACCCAGACGCCCCTAGAATTTTTTCTTGTGTTACACCTTTGCTAAACAATTTGTGACCTTTCATAGCTTTAAATAATAACCTTAAATTGTTTCACATCCTACTTCCGAGGAGACTTTCACCCCGTTTTGTCTCTTGGAAAAATTGGCAGCATGAATGCAGAGGGAAGAATAAGGGTGTGTACATCGAGTGTGGATTTGGTCTTACGTGTAGTATTCCTTTCAGATTTCAGCCGATGGTATTTTTAGCAGTTGATTGGCATCTCCTGCATAGTTAATACATCTGGTATCATTCATACTGTCTCTTACTGAGGCCTCCTCCCCAGGATTTTGGTTGTATGGGGTTTCTAGAAGTAGCTTACAAATCTTTTGCTTCCGGAAGTATAGTAGCTAATATTTTTTGTTTTCCTTCATCATACTTCATTTGATCCCACACCTAAGAGCTACTTAATGCATTTTTGTTATTTAAAAAAATGAACACTTTTGCGTTCTTTGCACCTGTTCTTGTTTGCTGGCTGTTCCAGCCTTCAGTGCATAAGGTCCTCCTTGCTTTCTTCTTGTTGGATTCTTTCCACCCTTCCAGAATCTGGTTTACTTCGTCTTCGTAGCTTGGTCTGGAGAGTGTGCACTCTCTGCCCTCAGGGAATTTGGAACTTGGGGTTCGGAACATGGCATAGTCAGTGATTATCCAGCTAAATTGTAATCTGTGCATGCATGGACAAGGCATAGGTTTACTTTGATTTTTTATTCCTTTCAGTGCTGCCTAGCCATATAGTCTGTACTTGGTAAAACCACTAGAGACTAAGGGGGTGATTTGTTATTTTGCTGAATTCAAGAAAGAGAAGGTGAAATTCATACTAAAAATGAAAGGATTGGCTGCATTTGGAGGGAATAAAGTGTGTTCCTAGTTTGCTGTAGAGCCTAGTGGTTGAAAAGGATAGCTAACATCAGTGCCCATTTCCTCTGTCCAGGCAACATGCTAAATTCTTTATGGGCAATATCCCAGCCAGTCCTGTCCCTCCTTTCCTAACCTGTAACCTCCTCCTAACCTCTTCTAACCGGACTGATGATAATTCTACTTCTCAGTGTTAAGAGGATTGCATGGGATAATGTGGCACAGTGCTTGGTGCTCAGAAAGTGCTCAATAGAGTAGTTGTGGCTGTAGATTTTGTTGTTACGTCCAGTGTCATGATGAAGAGTTGGCACTTGAATATGAAGTTGTGTTCATTGACCTTGAATCTCATTCTTTGTCTCAGTCCATGCTCATTCTAGATTTCCCAAAAACATAGCTTTCCTCTTTCTGAATTCTCACTTTTGGGCGGTCCTTGTACCTCATTTAGCCTTAAGCTTTGTTGTTTCTCACATCCATTCCTGTCTGTCCTCATCTAGTGCGCACATACACCCTGCACCCCCTCCCCCAATGCCGTGGTTCTCTATAGCTCTTAAGTTGACTGAGGGACAGAATTTCTTTGCTGGTCTATTTCCAGACTTTCTTCTCCTTTGTCATCTCCAGTGCTGTTAGAACACTCTTTCTAAAACACAGAATTGTTCTCTTAATCTTCGGTTTAAAATGCAGCCCTAGACCTCCATTCCAGGATCCCCACACGGTCCTCCCCGTCCTCTCACCCAGTAGATGCTCTACAAATGCGGACCGTGACTGAGGACAAAAGAGCACATCTTAGGAATTCTTTCCATACCGATGATAACCAGAAATTAAGGTTTCAAACTAAGCTGTCTTTTTATTATTTATTTAATTTTTAAAAAGATTTTATTTTATTTATTTGATAGAGAGATCACAGGTAGACAGAGAGGCAGGCAGAGAGAGAGGGGGAAGCAGGCTCCCCGTCGAGCAGAGAGCCCAATGCTGGCCTCGATCCCAGGACCCTGAGATCGAAAGCAGAGGCTTAACCCACTGAGGCACCCAGGCGCCCTAAGCGGTCTTTTTAG